CAATTGCGTAAAGTAGGTCTTGCTGTAAAGCGTCAGCAGGCTTTCGATATTGTCCCACAATACCATGCAAGGCCTTGGTAGGTCCATTCATTGCCAGAACCAACTGTTGTGCGTAAATTAGAGTTAGAGTCCATGATTATAGATTATAGTATTATAGCTATGGCAGCTTATGGTTGATTCTAAGAGAACACCGGCCGTCAATCAACAGACTTTGCCGGTGTAATTCTGAGTCTAAGTGTTACTGTTACATACTGTTACAGTGGTGCGTGTATAGTAACGTATAGTATAGTATAGTATAGTATAGTATAGCCGTATAGCCAAGCAGCATTTGCAACCTTTGCTTGCAATTGGACAAAGTCTGTGCCCCAACAGGCGTGACACACATGCTGGCAGCTGCGAATATAGCGGACTTTGTCTGGAAATTCTTCAGACTTGGGACCAGCTAAGAACTGGCATGTTCGCGACAGGTTCTTCGCAGCATCCTTAATGTGAACGCCCCTGCATCTCAATGACAGCAACGATGTGAACACAGCAGTTTCTGAAATTGGCCATGGATCTAGAGTACTTGATCTGCTAATCCTTACAAGCCCACCTTCCAAGTCTGAGATGCAGTCTGACAGGTGCTCCACCCGAAAATCAGAAGCAACGGAAATGTTCAGGGCGGGTGGCCGCAATTTCAAGATGGCTTCAGCTGGAATGCTTTTGGAAGAAGCAGTATGAATATCATCAACACCCACTGATACTTCTTTCCCTGAAGCAGTGTTTGGCTTGCGCTTTGCTAGGCACCGCTTGGTGTTCAAACACGATGCCAGCTGTTGAAAGTGAACTCTTTGTCCTGGAGCCAGATCATCAAATGCTGTTTTAACCTCTTCCCATGACGCAGCATTCACCCAATTCTGCTTCACGCCAGCGAGCCCTTTTGATGCGATGTACTGTCTCCTGAATACCCCTATAGGGCTGTCTTTCGCATTGGTGTTCTTCTTGACAAGAGCTTCACCTGCACCATTCTTGTGGTCCGTGTCAAGCTTGCGCTTCTCCACACCAGATGATCTGACCTGTTCTCCAAGTTTCTGCCACTGTCGTTGGAGACTCAAGTACAAATGACGGGCTTCATCAGCAACGCTGTTCGTCATTAAGCTAATGAAACTCAGATTGGTTGCATTCGATGCCAAAGCTTTGTGATGGCCATGCTTCCTCTCAGCATCTGCCACAGTGCAGGTCGCAGCCGTGGCTAGTGCAAGAAGAACTGCTTGCATCCTTGGCCGTGCAACGCTAGAATCTAGAATCTAGAAGAACACTCAAAATAAAAACCAAAAAATATGGCGTTCCTGGCATACATGTGTGACTGTGTGTATGCCTATGCCTATGCCACTGTCACTGGATTGAGTATATGCATTAAAGAGTGCTCGCTACACTACACTAAAACTACACTACACTATTTGGCCCTCCCCATGTTTCTACACCAGAGTTCTACTACTGTCAAAGAGTAAAGTAAAGGAGTCGAGCTGTTGCAATCACACAATCAATGAATATATTGATATTGAATGAATATAGCTTTCACGCTTTTGACTTTCGGTTCTGGGCCAAAGCCAAGGCGCTTTGGTAAAAGAAGGCCTGCCCCATCCAATCCACGCTCTTTGAGCTTCCTGGCCAATCCAGGTCTCAGGCAACACGCAGATGTCTGATCCCATTCTGCAATGAGTGCATTCTTCCTGTTTGCAGATGCTTGTGGGTCAGCTAGAGCACATAGGGCCCAGGGCATGTCAAACAGTCTATCTGAGTGGCGTCGTTGCACCCATGAAAGAGCAAGCAACACCAACCTCCGTAGAAATCGTATTTGGTCAGGTCTCTTCTCCTCCCACTCACTAGTGGTAGCATGACCTTCACGGCCAAATATCAGCACCAAGCGAGGACTGTCACATAGCAGTAAAGAGCTCAAGTATTGGCACACAGCTGTTAGTGGGGAGCGCTCGGGATTCGAAATTGTGAAGAGCCGTGGCTCAGCTGTGTCGCCTCGTAAGAACTCTTGCACCAAAAGTCGCACCGCCTCATCTACGATGAAAAGGACTATGAGTTTGGTCCCCAAAAGGGTGCCCTCACAATCAGCAATCAAGTCTGCGACCTTCTTAGCTCTCTTGCCCGTGATACGGGCAAACTCCTGAACACTTGCCAAAGCTGGATCCAGGTCCTCCGCACCCTCCTTGTCAACTTGGGAGATTTTCAAAGCATCAAGCCACTTGTGGACAGTCGCTGGCAGAAAGCTCTTGCAGCACAGGCCAAAGACCTTGCTTGGACAACCATGAATTGTGATTGAACCTCCCGGCTAGACTGAGACTCTCAATTTCTTGGAAGGAAACATCAGTCATATTAGGACCTTAGGAGGCTAGTACGTAGATTTGCACAGATGTTCACAAAGGTTTTCCTAAAGTTTCTTTTTAGCAATCTTAACTTCAAATGTCAAGCGGAAGACAGTACTAACAACACAATCAATCAAGGTGCTATGAATGAGAGACTGCTCCATAATTTAGTCCATTTCCCCGGCGCGGGAACGTCTGGAATGATGTCCAGTAAAATGGCAAGTAGGCTGTTTGACATCTTCTTCTTGCTCTCTGCATCTGTGGTGCAGCACCAGGTTGATGTAGGACCTGACCTGAAGCATACATGTTCGTACCGTGGATTGGTGGAAGTTAGGTCGCAGCCACCCCACATTTTCCTGAAATCTTTCAACTTGCGCTCAAATCCACCTGTCTTTTGCTGGTTGTCACCATCAGGCATCCGAACTTGCGACAAACATGCTCGAACTTTGCAATGGATGTCCAAGAGCTCTTCAAAGTAGGCTTTTTGCATGGGAAGCATTAATGAATCTTCATCTTCATTGCTCATGATTCGGACGGTAGTATTCTCTTGGATGTGCTCTGCAACAGCGTGCTTGACCTTTGTCCAATGGGAGGAAGCACGCAAAAAATGCGTCAAGGAAAAAAATCTGAAATTAGCCTTGGATGCGATGATCCGACCAGCGAAGTCTCGCACAGATTGGCTTGGTGACTGTGGCACACCATCCACTCCCTCAAAGTCGTGTCCTCCTGGGCCTCAGAAAGATTTAGTCGATGGTTGTATAATCTCTCATTGGCAGATGCACTGTCTGTCTCTTGCAATAAAATCGTTTCTTCTGCACAGCCCATGATAAGACTCTCAAACCTCCTGATGGAATACATCATAGGGTGATGCTCCAAGCAATAGTACCTCAGCTGCTCATGAAAGTCTGGGTTCTGGATCCCCGTCACGCTTTTTGATGCTGCTGCAACACATCCAGCTCCAGGTGTAGTGTATTGTGGTTTCTTTTCTATATTTTTAATACTTTAATCTTTAATACATAAGTCCAATACTTCATTTTGCAGACCATGAAAAGCTGAGGCACAGTCGATCCGCCGAAGGTGATAACACAAGAAGAGGAGGGCAAATAATGGGGAACTTCACCATGCGAAGCGGGCTTCCACTCCAGACAATTACAAGTGTGTGCTTTAGCACCACTATCTGCCATGCACCCTTTGTGTTGTTGACGCAGATCAGCTGCGATGTCTCGTCAAAGCATTCTCTGAGAGCTACAACGACTGGTTTCTCCCGATTGCACAGACAGTAGAGCTTTGCCAGTGTATTGGACTGCTTGGCAAGAACGCTGCCAGCCACCACACATCTCATTGCTGCAATGTAGCTAGGTGAAATCCCCATTGACAACCCTGTTGCATTGCAGCCCATGATGCGTTTGCCTCGTTTGCGATCCTTCCCAAAGGTGGCCTCCAAAAAGTCGGCCATACTATATTTCATAGAATAGCGATTGCCACCGCTTGACTTCAGGTAGCTCATCTTGACGAGGCTATCCTTGCGAACAATGCTGCCTGAACGATCTCTTCGAATTTGGATTGCTTTGTCTGACTTGGAAACTTTCCGAAGACTACAGAGCATCTTGAGTACATCCATCTCAGTTCTAATCTGCTTTTTCTTGGCTTTTGCCAAGTGCAAGCTCAAACTCCATGCTTTGCGTTCATGGACTTCTCCACGACTGTGAAGGCCCACCGCTCCCTTTGATGCAACCCTGCACCGCGGCTTGGGCCCAACTACTTGCACAGCTTGATCCTCCTTGCGCTCAGAGGAGGCAATAGGTTGAGCACTGATGACAGCAGGTTGAACAATAGCTTCAACTGGAGCAGGTTGAACAACAGCTTCAATGTCCAACTCTTGATCGAATATGTCCAAATAGTCCATGCCGTTCCATGCCCTCCATGAAACCGCCTCCCTGGCCCTAAATGGAGCTTGTCTCTGCCGTGGGCATTTGGTGTGGTGAATGTTTTTAAAAAAAGCTCTAGACTGGTCCACAAAATAATCAAGGAGAGCATTTTGCACAACTGTCTCACAAACTTTGGTGTGGCTGTTTTTGGTCAGCGCTACCTTTGTCCAACCACATTCCTGTCACTCATGAGTCACCTTGAGCCTTGTCATTGGATTCAGCCCGAAGTCTGACTAGCAGGTCAAGGCGTTCCAAAATTGCCAACCACCTAAAGCAAAGGACACAGAACATCGTGGCAAATGATGGAGGTCACTGTGGCAAATGACACAGGGAAGCGTGGCAAATGACACATGGCAGTGTGGCAGATGAGTGGTAAATGACACAGGCCAACGTGGCAAATGACACAAGGCAGTGTGGCAAATGAGTGGCAAATGACACAGGCCAACGTGGCAAGTAGTGTGGTAAATGACACAAGGCAGTGTGGCAAAAGAGATGTGAAAGCGTGGCAGCAGTGTGGCAGCATAAAAGGTGGGTACGCTTTTGGTGTGGCAGCAGTGTAGGCAGTACCACATGTCTCGTACATCTTTTGGAAAGCAAACGCGTCCATAACTTGATAGAACGAATCTCCAACACATGAATGTTCGGAGATCCATTACCATCCATGACCTGGCCTCACCAAAACCATGGAGCAAACCGTCACCGGGCAGTTGGTGTCCTGTCGGATGTAGCACCGTCGCTCGGTCAACAGTTCGCCAAGGAAGCTGAGCTCCTGCTGAAGGGTCGTGACCTCCTGCACGTGAAGGCTCGCAGCGGATGCGAACTCGGTGTGCAGAGGCGGAGGCCATGGCCAGTCAGGACTCTTCGGTCCAGACATGGGCACTTAGATGTGAACCCCACAGCTCTCATTCATGTCCTGTTGAAGTGCCAGACTCTATAAAAGTAAAGGAACATATTTCGGCGTAAGAGGACAGCTGTGGGCTTCGAGCCCTCAAAAAAAAAACACCAAACGACACCTTTGACCAGTCTGTGGAGCTGAGATCTGTCAAAAAGGACCTAAAAAGCGCATCGGTTGGAGCATCGCGGTCGGACGCATCCAGCGGCGTGGTCCTTGACCATCGTGGTCACATCCGGATGGTGACGGGTCAGAATCGAGTCACTGTTCATCCACGTCTAGACATCATATGTCCTGTAGAATTGTAGATGGTTAACAAGAATCAAAAGAAAGCAATATTATCAATGAATGCAGTTTTATACATAAACTGATGATTGTACAACCTCTCCATCGTACGGGGCGGGTGATGTATCCACCGTCTGCATGATGTTTCGGGGCGTCAACTTACTAAAAGCGCCCTTCTTGGCAGCAGTATGGCAGTACCTCACATCAACCACTGAATACCACTGAGACCCTTTCACTTCGCTCTTGGGGGGGGTTGGTGACACTGCAGGGCATGCTTGACTGCCTTATCCCGCAGTGATGCATCTCAAATCCCGAGGCTTTCGGGGAGCGGTCAGGCTGTGAACGGAGCGTTTGGGTTCACCAAATCTGGCGCTACACTATGACACCACAGTCTCGATCAAGAAGGGTCAGCTCAGCTGAGTATGTCAGGTGCGTTTGCGGACGCTTCGTCGGCCAACACCTTCCTTCCAGAAAGCTACCAGGGTGGAGGCCATCGCGGGTGGTGCCGTGCCTCTCAGCGCCCCTCCCTTCTTCCACCCACACCTCACTCCCGGCCCGCAAGCGCCGCGCGAGGCGGAGCGCTAGCCTGGCGGTTCGAAGGACCGGTCTTTCCATGAATCGAAAAACTCCAAAGCCCAGCGACCCAAATCCTCAACAGGTCACCACCTGCGACTGGTCAAAAACGGCTTTGTGGAGACCTGTAGAGTCGAATGCTGGTAGAATTGCCATGAAATGTCATCGATTCCCACAAAGCTATACTCTTGTGGTGGGCGTCTCCCTCCAACCTATGTTGTGCCACCTCAACAATCTGATCTCTCGGGAAAGGGATGGTCTATAAATGAATAACATGTTGAATTGAAAATAAAGCTGGTGTTCGATGTTCTCTTTCAACAGACCTTTTCCATCCTTTTCCATCTTTTTCCCCAAAATAGACCACTTGAGCTGAATCAAATGTTTCATTCCGGTCTGCCAGATGGAACATGGGCACCATTTTGGGGGGGCACCAAACTGGGACCAAGACTTCGAGCGTTGGTTCAAACCATCCTCACTGCCCAGGCGAGATCGGACGACTATCTGACTATCCAAGTGATCTGATCTAGTCTTTCAGCGTCTACTCTCCAGGAATCACCCCCACATCCACGGCGTTCATGCGAAACAGAAGGGAGATCGAAAAGTTCTGGTCGTCGGGTCGTGCGTCTCACATCTCGCTTTTCAGCCTGATCCTGAAAACCTATGTAATTGATTGGTGTTTTTGTATGATCCAGTAAAATGAGACCCTCCAACAGCTCACCACCTGCCACCTTTTGGAGACCTGTAGAGTCGGGTGTTGAGAAGAAGGGCACAGGACACAGGAAGTTGGGCATCTTCGGTCAAGGAGCTCAGCCGCCCTGCGAGCTTGAAGTTGGCGCCCGGACAAGAGGGTCACCTGAAGTCAGTTTCGGTCCCTGTCCCTCGAAACGTTGAAATTGGAGTCCCCAGACCAGGGCCCTGAGTCTGGAAGTGCTGCTTGTGCGAGGGCACAATGGTCAAGTCTGAACGAGCTGCAAATGTATCGGGGAAGGATGCCAGAATGTCCTGGCTTTGGGATCTTTGTGTCCGATCCACCCTCAGTCAGTGACTGTCCAGATCCCGAGGATGTTAACCCCAACAGGCCTGTAAAGGGTCGCTTAGAAGATCGGATTCAGAACCTTCAGACCTAGACTCGCAGGTTCCGGTGAAACTCAGTCCCTCCATCACTCTCGGACTCCATGGGCACCGATGTCTCTCGAGAACACACATCCTCAGTCTGTCTGTCCCGGACAGAGAAACGCCCCGAAGCGCCGCGAAGTGGCTGCCAGGGCATGGCAGAGCACTGCTGAGGCTTTGTACGTGAGGTAGGGGTTCAGTCGCAGAAGATCCTCCTGGACACACATGCATAACCCCCCGCGCGCCGCGCGCATCTGCACGCACACATGCCGTGCCGTGCTTGCGCTGTCAGAGGATCAGATGTGAATCATCGACGGTTCCCTCGACCTCGGGTTTTTCCGGAGACTTTGGAGGTCAAAGTAACCCAACTTGATCCCCTGGTGAGGGTCACTGCCTGGAAAAGGTCACTGCAGAAGACTTGAACGAAAGGTCAGTTTGAAGCTCGAAGTTACCACGTACATTGCAAAAATTGGAATCCGGTTTTGTCACATTCAATCAGCTGGCTACACAAGCGGTTCTGCTTCGGACCCTGTGCCATCAAGCTCGGGCCAATCCAATTCAGGCCACCATAGCAGGAAGGGTCATGGGGAGATTCTCGGTTTTTGGACCCTGCGTGAAGCCTGTATGACTGCATGCTCTGTCTGGACCTTCTAGTGTAGACTCTTCACTACTTATATTTCAACCCCGCATGTGAAGAGGGGTCTTTCTATCCAAATGGGAGGGTCATCAATCAAGACTATCAAGAGTATATACATGTTCGCTCCTTCAAACCCTCATGGTCTCCCCCATCCAGGCGGAAAGAGCCGCACGATGGGCGGTGCCTCTATCCGCGTCCGCGTTTCGCGTCCGCGGTCTTCAGGCAGCTCCTGTGCTTTGGAGCTCACGATGCAGCTCATGGCATAGTCGAAGGTCACGTGTTGCTCCAAACGGCACCTCGGACGCTCGCCTCATCGCCGTCGTCTCGAGGCAACGGACGAGTCTCCAAGGTCGGCACAAATCCCGCTGCAGCTTGAAGTCGAAGACCTGCGCCGGTCGCCGGTCTGTGTGGCATTGTTTGGGGTTGCCAAAAGCCTTCCAAGACCATGTATCAATGGTTGGCGTAGTCGAAAACCATGGTGATGGTTGTTGGGCAAGAACCCTTAAATCAATGGTTGGAATCTGCAGAATCCCAGGTTGTCCGTGCTCAGGTTGTTCCGGAGAGCCATCATCTAAACCAGCACCCAGAGACCTGAGCCTTGTGAGTCGGAACTGTCATTCACCATGTCATCACCAAGTCCCTGAGACTACCTTTGCTTCACCAGCGCAAACCACCGGGACTTCTCCGTAATGCTCTGGTGGGTTGACCGGAGAGGTCGTCTGTTCTGTTCAAGTGTTCTATACCAGGACCCTTGAAGGGGTGCCCAATGGAAGCCTATAGGTAGTGTGGGGTAGTCCATTGGACACCCCTTTGGAGGGGGTCCAGGTAGAGGTATATTGCTGGGCCGAACTTCGCTTGGAAAGTTCCAGCCTCCTCACTCTCGGGCAGCCCATTGGCGTCCGCCAGCATCGTCTCGATGGCCTCTAGAGTCCTGGCGGCCGCTTTCTGGGCGCCCAGCTCACCCGGTGTGGACGCACACCCTTGTGGAGCCAGCTGTATCGAGTCCGGGGTGGTTCAAAGGGAAGGTACGTCAGGGGTGTCGATCAACCCACTCTGGGCCCGCCGTGGTGCATTGGTGGTTCACGATTGGGGGGCATTCATCAACCAACCGAAAAAAAGCCATCTATGGCGGCTCCACCCTGCCAAATCCAAAGAGGAGCAGGGTGAGGACCCTTCCCCTATCATCATTCAGAGTTCAGGACCGATTTTCGGTCGGAGCTGAAGTGTAGAGGGTCCACCATGGTAAACCCATGCTTGGGATAGAGTGAAAAGAAACCATCCAGCACTTTCAAAAGGGGTCACCTGGCTGGAAGCCCCTACACTACCTAGGGATCTCCAGACAGGACACCCCTTTGAAGGTCCAGGATGTCACACTCTATGCGAAAAACACCCACGAGGAAAAAAGAATAACGTCACGAACGAAGGCATTCCTCATTGCACAGGCCAGAACGAAGGCCCAGAAGTCCCACTCGGAGTGTCTGGCCCAAAGGCTCCAAGAAGGTATGACTGGACCCTGGCACCCACCCCAGTCCCACCTTCGACAGCACTTGGAGCCGGGTGGGACGATATCTGATTTCTTTCGCTCTCAACTGTGGCACTCACAGCGTCCCTCGGCGACCGTAACCCGGTAGTGACTCGGCTGCTGACCGAGACATGAACGTCGAGGTGTGGAGAGGATGTGGGACATGCTGGATGCTGAACCTTGGACATCACCCAGGTTCTAGGTGGACGAAAGATGATGAAGATCTCTAAGGTTGATTGAGGTGTTTTCGATGGTCGTTCTATCGAAATGATTCTATCACTACAAAGTTTAGTTGCTTCCCCCAAAGTGGATGACAAAAAAGACACATCAACGTCTTGGTGTTCCTCTAAATGGGTCTGCTTTGACTCTAAGTGGACCAAGCTTCCTTCCCACCACAACGCCCAGCCACCGGGGGCAATAGCGGCACGCACAGCGGCACCGCCTCCCTCGAAAAGCTCACCCTCAAGACACACCCAATGCCAGAGGGCCCTGCTGTCCATCTCCCCTCCGAACTGATGGGAACTGCAAAAAAACGCTTCAAAACCCCTTAGACCCTTGATCCTCGCCTCCCGGGACTGGAGACCATCTCCCCACCCACCCGGGCGGTCGCACCTTTGCCCATCTTCCCGAGCGCTCGCCCGCAAGGCCTGGCGGGCGCCGCGAGGGGTACCGCGGGCGGAGGAGCGAGCGAGATGGTGTTCGTGTCGGGCTGGTCAGGGTGAACGGCTGAGGCCCAACCAAAAGAGCGAGACAGACAGACAGACAAACAGACAGAGAGACAGACAGAGAGACAGAGACACAGACAGAGACAAAGACAAAGACAGACACAGAGACAAACAGACAAACAGAAAA